TATTTTGAAATTCTCGCTTTCGATGAACTTTATACAAATGAGGACTAACGAGTTTTTTGTATTCGTTTAAACTATTTTTATCAGCTCGACCATGCCGCGAAGATCAAGAGCAGCCAAGAGGCTGAAAAATACTACGCTGAAACAGTGTCGGCTCTGAATGATGTCCTGTCCAAGCTTGGTTAGAAAGATGTTTGAACAAATGGTGTGTAAGCTTTTTGTTGTTCTCTTTCACAACATGGAAACTTGTACAAAAGGCTTTCTGTTGTTCTTTTGTTTAAAAAAAAAAAAACGATTCATTTGAATATTTTACATCTGTGTTGAAAGTCTCCACATAAGCGCCTATGTGTGCAAGTTTGCTGTTTCGACTTTTGAAGCTTTCAAACACAACTTCGATGAAACTTTAGTGAAATGCAATCCGGAATCGTAGAATGAAATCAATTCAAGGGAATAACGAACATTAACGACTTGGAAAAATAACATCTGGAAACGACATAAAAGCATAAAGGTTAACGGCTAACACAACATGAGATGAGCCCTATATCTCTCGAGCATTGTGTCAGGTACCATCCCTTGAAAACCAATCAAGCTCCGCTTGTAAGGGTAAACTCTCATCGAGACCGCCAGATTGGGCGCCTTCTCAACATCCTTCATTTCGCCTGTCTCCATATTGTACGTGAATAGTTTGCTTCCCTTCATCCAAAACCATATCTCCCCTTCCCTTGCAAACAAGGGGACAAAGTCGTCATCATTCCCCTCCTTCAAAAACGGGAGGCGAACAATCCTCTTCTCCCGACACCAAACCCCCCGCTCGTAATCCGTGAGCTCCATCACCTCCAAATTGGGCCCAACAATATCCGCAATCGCAAGCTTGCCGGCCCACTCCATACCCCAATAGTTCCTCCAACTCTTGTCGGGCCGGCCCGATTTCATTTTCCCGAAACAGCTGACCGAGAACTTCTCGGTCTCCAGGTTGAGTGAAACCACGGTTTCGGGCCTGGCCCGGTTGAAGAAAACGCAGTGCACGG